TTCCTTCCTTCCTTCCTTCCTTCCTTCCTTCCTTCCTTCCTTCCTTCCTTCCTTCCTTCCTTCCTTCCCTCTCTCTCTCTCTCTCTTTCTTTCTTTCTTTTCTTTCTTGCCTTGATTTTTACAAATAAATCAAGGCAGTGAACATATATACCCATACCTTCCTCCTCCTCTTTTCCCCATAACAAGAAACCCTGTAAGGTGGGTTGCGTTGAGAGAGAGGGGCTGGCCCAAAGTCGTCCAGATGGCTTTTATGGCTAAGGCAGGGCTAGAACTCCCCGTCTCCTGGTCATTGGGCCAAAGTCACCAGTCAGCTTTCATGCCTAATGGGGGGACTACAACTCACTGTCTCTTGGTCATTGGGTCAAACGCACCCAGCTGGCTTTCATGCCTAAGGCGAAACTAGAACTCCCCGTCTCCTGGTCATTGGCCCAAAGTCACCCAGTCAGCTCTCATGCCTAAGACAGGATTAGAACTCCCTGTCTCCTGGCGATCAGCCCAAAGTTACCCAGCCACCTTTCATGCCTTGAAGGCACTGCCTCCTCTTCCTTACCTGTCATTACCTGACCCCGAACTCCCTTCCTTTCCCCATTTAGAACAATTGGCCGCCATTCCTGAATTCAAGAACCTGGGCCCGCTTTTCAAGTCCTCTGAGGCCGTGCAGCTGACAGAGGCTGAGACCGAGTACTTCGTCCGCTGCATTAAACACGTCTTCTCCAATCACGTTGTCTTCCAGGTATATATATAAATATGACAAAATATGACAAAAATGCAAAGCTCAGGCAGAGTAAATTCATGAGAACGACTTGAAGCTAGTTGAGTTGGTATCTTCATCGTCGCCTCTGCGTAGAACGGGGGTGTCCAGGATTGACCCCTTTAAACCCCCGTGGACTTCAACTCCCAGAATTCCCCTGGGGGTGGGGGGGAAAGGAGAATTCTGGGAGTTGAAGTCCACAGGTGTTAAAAGGGGCTAATGCTGGATATCACTGTCCCAGAGCAATGTTCCTCACCGGGAGCCATTTTAAGAGGGCTGGACTTCCAACGCCCAGAATTCCCCAGCCAGTCACGTGGGAGATACTGATGGAAAATTAGAACCCGGATCCTATACAGAGAGGTCCCCAGATGGGATCAACCTGTGACCCATGTTAAAATGGGGCAGGGGGCTTCAGGCACATGGATGTGGCCACCATTTTTGCTGAGGGTGGGGTCCATGGTGCTCTCTGAGCTTGGTGGCTTTCTCGCAGACGTTTCGTTACCCAACTAGGTAACGTCATCAGTGCGATCATGATACACATCAGTGGCTCTCAAACTTAATGTCATCAATGCTTGAAGGGAATAGGGTTTGTGAAGTAAAAGAGGCAAAGAAGGAGGAGGAGAACTGTGGGGGTCCTTGGTGCTCTCTCCGCTCAGTTTTCTTGCAGACGTTTCATTACCCAGTTAGATAACATCAGCAGTGCTAGAAGGGAATGAGGCATAAGGAAAGGAGGAGGAGGAGGAAGAGGAGGAGGACGGTGGGGGTCCTTGGTGCTCTCTGAGCTGGGTGGTTTCCTTGCAGACGTTTCATGACCCAACTAGGTACCGTCATCAGTGCGATCATGATACACATCAGTGGCTCTCAAACTTCTCTTTAGTACGGACTCCCTTCAGATATCTTTTATGGCCAGGGACCCCCAAGACTTAACTCGAGTTAAATCATATACATTGCTTCAAGCCTTTTGGTTGAGAACGCTGATGACATGACCTAGTTTGGTAATGAGACGTCTGCAAAAAGACAGCCAAGCTCAGAGAGCCTCAATCCTCCTCCCCACAACCCCCCCTCCCTTCCAGCACTGATGATATTACCTAGTTGGATCACGAAACGTCTGCAAGAAAACCACGAAGCTCAGAAGAGTACCGAGAACCCCGCAGTCTTTTTCCTCCTCCTCCTTTCCACAACTCCCCCTCCCTTCCAGCACTGATGATGTTACCTAGTTTGGTCATGAAATGTCTGCAAGAAAACCACCAACCTCTGAGAGCACCGAGGACCCCACAGTCCTTCCTCCTTTTTCATTCCTTCTTTCCCTTTCTCCTCCTCCTCCCTTCTAGCACTGATGATGCTACCTAGTTGGGTGAAAAAATGTCTGCAAGAAAACCACCAAGCTCAGAGAGCACCAAGGACCCCACAGTCCTTCCTCCTCTTTCCTCGCTTTCATTCCTTCTCCTTCCTTCTTTCCCTTTCTCCTCTTCTTCCTCCTCCTCAATCCCACTTCCTCCTAGCACTGATGATGTTCTCTAGTTGGGTCATGAAATGTCTGCAAAAAAAGGACCAAACTCAGAAAGCACCAAGGACCCCACAGTCTTTTTCCTCCTCCTCCTCCTCCACAACCCTCCCTTCCTTCCAGCACTGATGACGTTCCGTAGTTGGGTCATGAAACGTCTCCAAGAAAACCACCAAGCTCAGAGACCACCAGGGACCCCTCATTTCAACCTCCAGCTACAAATATTTGCCTCTATTGGTTCCCTCTTGGCTGTTGGATAGAGCCACCCACCGGCACCTGGTTTTTACGTCGAGCGTTCTTGTTTGTCAAAGTTAGGATGCTCAGCCAAACTCCGGAGTAAAAGGCATACTAGCAATCCCAACCAGGCGCTCTCCTTTTTTCTTTTTTCTTTTTTTTTAGTTTGATTGCACCAACACCCTGAACGACCAACTCTTGGAAAAAGTGACGGTTCAGATGGAGCCTTCGGAAGCTTACGAAGTCCTCCGTTGCATCCCGGCACCCAACCTTTCGTACAACCAGCCGGGCATGTGCTACACGCTAGTGCGCCTACCTCTGGACGACCCCACCGCAGGTACTGCAAGAAAAGCTCCTGAGGTTCTTCCAGATATTCATCCCCTCCCTGTGGGTGGTACCTCTCTGATTTGAGGTTCACATTCCCCCTCCATTCCTCTTCTCCGTTTCAAAACTTTCTCGGGCCAATCTTTCCGAAAGGCACTAGAATTCCCAGCCGCCCACTTAGCTCAGTAGCCGAAAGAGTGAATCGTAGCTTAGCAAGACGTTTCCCCATCCAGATGTTTTGGTGTAATGTGCAACTAAGAGTAGCGTCTCTGTTTGGCCCGCTCTGCAACACGTGGGGGGGCATTGGTTAGTTCACGTGGTTTCCCGGAATGGCTGAACCGAGAAAAGCAGGGGGTTGGACTAGAAGACCTCAAAGGTCCCTTTCAGCTGTGTTTGGATCTTAAGATCTGAAAATGGATCGCTTCGGTGAACAAGAGTCGGTTTGGGCTAGAAAGCCAGATTCAAGGGGGAGAGGGAGGTTTTGCCCAGACGGAGTCCTCTTTTTAAGGTCAAATCACTTTTAAATGCAATAATTTTCAAATAAAAAAACTTTCTTTTTTTTTTATTAAGAATTTTTAGTTTTAAACAAACATACACAAACAAAACATAAAACCATCTTCCAGTTACATACAGTGTGTCAGTTGGTTACAAGTCTGTTGTGCTTCATAGTCCTCACTTACAGTTTATATAAATTCTCATATTATCCTAAACCAAACAACTTTCAAATCAGACAACTTTCAAATTAAGTAACTTTCAAATCAAATAGCTTTCAAATCACTTTCAAATCAAATTGTTTTCGAATCAAATCACCTTCAAATCAAATTGCTTTCAATTCAAATCACTTTCAAATCAAATCATTTTCAAATCAAATCACTTTCAAACCAAGTCACTTTATTGGGCCATTCACCAAGAAAAAGAAAGAAGAAAAGAAAAGAGTTGTCAGATACTCAGAACATCCCAAAATAAATTTAAGAACAATGTGTAGAAAAACACATGAAAAAGCTTCATTCCTATTAATTAAAACTATCCTAAAATCTAGAATTACAGGAAGTCCTCGCTTTACGACCACAGTTGAGCCCAAAATTTCTGCTACTAAGCGAGACAGTTGTTAAGCGAATTTAGCCCCATTTTGCAACCTTTCTTGCCACCGTTGTTAAGTGAATCACTGCAGTTGTTAAGTTGGGCAGTGGGTCGTTAAGTGTATCTGGCTTCCTTCATTGAGTTTGCTTGTCAGAAGGTCGCAAAAGGACATGGCGACTGTCGTAAATACGAGTCAATGGCCAAGTAGCTGAATTTTGATCACATGACCACGGGAGATGCTGCAATGGTCATAAAGGTGAAACATATGGCCATCGGTCACTTTTTTTTTCAGTGCTGGGGTACCTTTGGTCACTGTGATGACCCGGAGTGTTAACACAAACGTAACAAAACCCAAAATGTAAATAAATGTCCTTTAATGCCTCCAACTTGGCCCCACTGTTCAATAATTCTCATTTGGAGATAAAACTTATTCAAAAATAGTCTTCAAAAGAAAGCAATACAGTCCGAACTTAATGAGCAGATAGAGGTGAAATTAAAAAAAACCAAACAAACTACAATGAAATTTCCACAACAGAAGAGAAGTATTTACCAAATTCAAGGAGATAACAAGGCAGAGTCTGTTGGAAGGACGCCAACCAAGATAACTTCAGCCCAAAATAACACACACTTTGCTTCTGGCAACGTCGTGTTTTAACCGTCTCTCTTATATACTATTCTCCCCAGCTGCCATCAATGAGGGGGATCATGGCCGCTTCCTCTCTCGTAAGCCAAGTTGCTCCCTTCTCCGTTCCTCCCTGCGTGCCCTAGGATGAAGAGGGGATGGGCCTGGTTCTTCCTCTGATTGCCCAGCCGGCCTCTGCCCTTCCCCAGCCTCCTCCACGACCTCCAGAGCCACACTTCCACTCCCTGTTGGCTGTTCCTTCTTTCCCTCAGAGTCCGACTCTACCAAGGGCGTGACAGTCACTAAACAAATGGTTATAAGTTGAGGACTACCTGCATAGAATCCTTGAGCAATCGGAGGAAGGTACAATGCAATACAGTTAGTCCTCGACTTACAACGGTTCATTTAGTGACCGTCCGAAGTTACAACAGCACTGAAAAAGGACCGTTTTTCACACTTACGACCGTGGCAGCCTCCCCGTGGATCCCTTGATCTAAACTTGGCAATTGACTCGTACTTACGACAGTTGCCGTGCCCTGTTGCAACCTTCGGACAAGCAAAGCCTGTAGGGAATCCAGATTCACTTAACCATGATAATTTCACAAAAGTTGCAGCGAGTTCCCTTAACAACCGGGGCAAGAAAAGTCATCAAACGGGGCAAAACTCACTCAGGCATGATATTCCCCTCTGAAAAAAAAATCGGGGCCGGCCAAAAGAGACCCCCCCACCGCGCGCCAAGAAATTGCTGCCCAGCTCCCTTTTCCTGCCGCTCAGCGGGCTCCGCTCGCACCGCCCACCCGCCCAGGCTCCGCTCAGGTATCCGGCTGGGACTGTCAGGAGTTGCTACGGCTGGCGCAGCTCCGCGCGGCTCCAGTCCCGCGTTGCCTCGGGAAGGGAAAGGCAGGAGCCGCTGCTGCCGTTGCAAAGCGCCGCCGCGGCGCTTCCTTTTTGCCTTTCCTTTCCTGAGGCAACGCGGGACTGGAGCCACGCAGAGCCGCGC